TTATGAATTGTTTTTTTTCCCTCTTGCGAATGTTTGAGTTTATTACGAACTTTTTCTTTTCTTTTTCATGGTTGAGCAAGTAAGCGAATCGAAACTACATGCCAAGCTAAGAAGGCTGTCGTCTGGAATGTAGTTAGTTCACCGTGAGGATCACCTTTCCAATTCTACGAGTGTGAAAAATGACCTTGGTGTTGGGTATACCTCCTTATTGGAGTGTGGGACCCAATTGGTTTATTAAAAGAGTTTTAATTTGACTTGATTTAGGTATAATATATTTTTATATATTATATTTGAGGAAACCCAATCCAATTTAGATACAATTAGGTTTGATTTTAAAACCCAAGATTCAATATATATATATATATATATATTGTTTAGTCTTCACAAAAAGGTATGCACGACTCTTACAAATTTGGCTCAATACTTTTCTGAAGTGGTGCCGTTGCTGTAAACATCTTTTTGCGGGGTTCGTGCCAATTAATTCATCTTTGGTGTTTTTTTTGGTTTGGGGCGGCAGTGCTTGAGTTCAACTCAGCGGATTGGTTTCGGTTGATTTGTTTGATCATTATTTGGTGGGTTGATTTGGTTCGTTATTTTGGATCTTCTACAACTCTGATTCTGAAGATTTTGGTTTATTAATTTGGTGAGGTCTTTCCTCTTTATTTATTTGTGATTATTTGGAATTCACCTAAGGGTGGTTTTGTGAGACCATTAGTGTCTCGTTTGTAATCGTTTGGAACTTATTTGGTTGATAATGGAATCGGATTTCGATCCCGTGGACGTACCTCACATTGAGGGAACCACGTAAAAATTCTTGTGTTGCCTTTGATTTAATTTTTCCGCATTAGTTTTTATTCCCATTGATTGATTTACTTGTGGGGAATCTTATATTTTCCCTAACACTTGGTTATTTTGTCACATTTCTTTTTTCTTTTCTGATCTTTTCTGAGTCAGTTCACCATGAGGATCACCCTTTCAAAATCTACAAGTGAAAAATGGCCTTGGTTATTTTGTTACACATATTTTTGAGTATTACCGGCTATGTTTATCTCTTGTGATATATTGAAATTTAGAGAGAAATTCTCTTGCAATTGTTTTCCACTAAACAGATAGCTCAATTCTAAGTTAGTTTATATGTACATGACGTTTTTCTCTCCATATAATTTTCCTCTCTAGACTTAATATGTTTATAAATTTCAGTTCAAAACACAAATGTAATGGGCACTAGCTGGCATTAGTTAGCGTGCCTTGCACGCGGCCCTCTAACTAGTATATATATATATATAAAGCAACTAAATATACAAAATTAGCTACCGTTTCGTAAAGCAGCTTTGGCCGCCATACGAGCGGTCTTTACAATAGTACAGTTTAGTTTCGTAAAGATGTTTTAAAAAGATGGTTAAAGTTGATTTTTTTTTTTTTAACTTTTTGACTTTTTTTTGTGAGAGAGGAAATGGATTAAAAGTTGGAAGTGACTTTTAATCCACTTTCCAAAATAGGCCTGAATACAAATATAATCCATCTTCGCATCTATTAAAGTTTTAGGGAATCAATCAACAGCAACATATGATTTTAAACTATTAATCAACCTTTGATAATTTGTTTGAATAATCTCTGTTTTGAAATTTCAAGAGTAGCACTATGGAAGCACATCCATGCAGTCCCGGGCATCAGCTTCATGAGCTGAATGTGCTTGGAATCTAAATGCTTCAGAAGCCATCTTCCATCCATTTCGATTGCTCGCCACCCACCTACACAGCAGCCGATTTTTTTGTTTCTTGATACCATGTGCCGTCCGCCAAAGTGGATTATGCTTCTATGGAAATTAAGTCATCGGATTATGCCAGTCAAGGTAGCAATTCAGAAACGAGGAGTTAAGATTGATTCGGTTTGTCCAAGGTGTAAGGAATATGATGAAACATTAGAACATTTATGTTTTCAGTGTTTGTTTTCCAAAAGAGTATAGTTTGGACCATAGCTGGGTCTCAATTTTGACATTGGGTAGGAATTACGGGTAATTCTTATGTTAAAAACACAAGGTGATGATGTAGAGTTTGCAACTTATTTTATCTTTTACTATATGGTTTATATTAGGAGAAGAATGAATAGTTAAATTATGTTATTTTGACTGTTTTTAAAGCAGACAATTCAAACAATTTTCAAATAGACAGGCCACGTTTATGAAGTAATAGTTTTAACTTAAAAGTCAAAAAATTATTTTAAAAAATCAAAAAGCTTATAACCTATATCAAAAGGTCAAAGATTTAATTTTCTCTCTACTTTTTGCATATCTTTTTATAAAATATCAAAAAGTCATTCTAAACATATAATTTTTTTTTTACCTCAAATTTAGCAAAAAAGTTATTAAAATAATTTGTTTCCAAACGAGGTCTCAATTAATAAAAAAGTATTAATAAAATAACAACACTCATTATTCTTATATAATTTTATATTTTTTAAAGGTGAATAATTTTTAAAATTAAAAAAATATCTTCTTCAATGTTTATTTTTTGTCAAACTAAATTATATTTTTCTTAAAAGATTAATTTTGAAATCAAAATCAAACATACCATATATGTTAATGATTGGTCCATCACTAGGTGCCAACACTAAACTATGTCGTTTTTACTAATTTTGAAGTAGACAATTCAAATAATTTTCAAATAGACTCAATTAGTAAAAAAATAATAATAAAGTAACAACACTTATTATTCTTATATAATTTTATATTTTTTGAAGGCATTTTTTAAAATTTTAAAAATATCTTCTTTAGTATTTATTTTTGTCAAACTAAATTATATATTTTTTTAAATATTAATTTTGAAATTAAAATCAAACAAACCATATATATTTTGACTACTTCAAAACTTGCTTGAATGCATCACCACCTTGTGTTTTTAGCATACCACCCAATATTAATTGGTTATAGGAATTAATGTAAACCTTACAAAAACTGATTTTTTTTTTAACAAAATGTAAAATAGTGCCGTTCAAACAGCACGACAGGCATGGGTGGGTCACCGTGACCCCTCATCCGTTTGAAAATTAATTATTTTAATTAAGTTTTTGTAAAAAAAAAAAATTAAAAAAATAATTAATTTTTTAGTAGTGACTTGAAACTCTTTAACTATTTTATTTTGTGAAACAACCTTTTAAATTTTAGTGACATTTTTAAATTGCATAGATTCTCTCAAGTTCAACATTTTTGACAAAGCATTTAGATTTAGTGGGTCTTTTTTAAAGTCAATTTCGGTGATTTCAAACCATTTACTTTTTAGGTTCACTGATTTAAATATTTATAGTAAAAAATTAAGATAATTGAACCTTAGTAAATATATTTGAATTATATTTATTTTAAAAGATAAACATTAAATATAATTTTTAAAATAATAATTATTTTTTGAAATACAAATGTAATTTAAAAAAATATTTATATAATATGTATCGATATTAATTAAATTATTTTAATTTTTTACATGAATATTTTCCTTAACGAACCTTAAAAAGTGAATCCTTTGAATAATTCAAGAAAACTTGAATGAATCTAACTCCTAAAATATACACTCAACTCAGAGAATTAATTCCAAAACAAAAATAAAAAAACCCATTTATGGTTGCAGCATCCATAATTTTCAGTAGTCGCGATAATATATATTTAAAAAAAAAAAATTCTCTAACTATTTCATCTAATTAACATCACCTTTTTAAAAATTTTTAATTTTAAACACAGTTTCATGAAATGAAAACATGCGAAATAAAAATACTAGAGACTCTAAATATTTTACCAAAAAAATTACTAAACACTTGCATGGGTGTAGTGTTTTGATAAATTTTTTGATAGATTATTTTGTATCTCTAACATTGCTCTATGCAAAAGGGCTATATTGGAAAATGACTTGAATTCCTCATTTGAGAGGGACCAAAAAAAAAAACTAATACAAAGCAACATAGAATTTATTTATTTTTATCTAAACCAACCTTTATTTCAGTCCAAACCTTAGTCGAAGAAACCTTATTAACTGGCATGAGATCCTCTATCTCCAAATCTTCTTGTCTCTATGTCTCAAAACATCCACATTTATTGAATTAGGTTTTGAGATTACCGCATTTCAAGATTTTCAATGATGTACGAGGTGCAAATATTCGATGTTGTCCGTACACCTCGTGTCCAAGCTTTACTTTACTCCGATTAACCTGCAAACACAACGTTGGTGAGCTACCCGGCGGTGTGTTGCTGGAAAACCCCTCCGACGAGCAAGTTAGTACACTTCTAGAGAGAGAAAAGATAAAGTGGTCTTTTAGCTCTCGCCAGTCTCCTTTCATATGGAGGCGTTGCCTTGTTTATATAGTTTCTACGCACGCTTTTGCGCCCATTCCTCTCGAGATGCGTGGACCTGCTTCCCTCTCACGGTTTCCCACGTGTCAACGCTAAAACAGCTAATCACCACCTAATGAAATTGTCAAAGCGAATTAAAGCATACGAACCGCGGAACCTCCTTCTTGCAGTGTTGGGGTGCCGCACAAAACCCCAAACCGGGCTACTCTTAACACGGCATCACGGTTCACCGAAACAACCGTTCTAATTGACCGGCGACTTTGACAACTTCACTGTGGCTCTTGCCGAGCTCCTCAGTCATGGCCATTCTTTTACTCGGTTGGTCCGCTCCTCGGAAGCTCTAATCCGCGTAACACGTCGGAGTGCACATGTTCAACCAAGATATGAGTCCAAGGTCACTCAGGCTAGACCGTGTCGAGATTTCGACCGGGGTGCACAATGAACGCACGAGCTTAGCTCAGCCTGACTCAGCTCAACCCAACTTAGCTCGGCCCAACGCCAATTTAGGAAATCTCCCTCTCAAATGACATAATGGTTGCGAGCGCTTTGGGACAAAGAGAAAAAAAATTTGGGAACAGAAAACCCATAGCCAAGTTGACTCGCTGATAGTTAACTACTTCGGCACCAAATTAATTGTTTATTTATTCTTTATCAACATATCTTATTATCCGAGTACAGAATTCCTCCTGCAGCTGGACCAGTACTCAGCTACAAGCTTAGAGAATGAAGAATTGGTCTCCATAAGCTTTGAAGGATCATCATACTCAACCAGTTCCCCTGCAAAACCATAACATGATACATTTACATTAATAACCTTCATTTCAATATCCTAACACTGGCATGAAAGACATTTCAACATGCTAGCCTAAAATTGGACTAGACTTAGTTATATTTGCAACACATTTAAATTTTAGGCTGCAAATAATACTATAAAATTGATTATCTAGTTTTTTTTTGTGTGTGTGTGTGTGTGTGTGTTGAAAAAATGCATACATGTCTGGGGGAAAAGAAAAAAACATTCATGTGAACCTCGATTATGCAAGAGTAGAAGCATACCAAAAGAAAGGACCATGACCATGTCACTGTCAATGGAAGCGATTGCTTCATCTAGGACAATAATTTTGTTTCTCCTAAGAAGGACTCTTCCAAGACAGAAGAGCTGGCGTTGCCCCACACTCCAGTTCTCGCCTTCATCGCTCACTGTAAAATATAATAAAAGGCAATGTTTTTCATTCACTATTAATTTCAACCTTATAAAGTTTGAGTTCAACTTACCTGAAGAATCTAGTAAATTAGGAAGGCTGTTGATGGTAACCTTAAGTTGGTGTTGGAAAATGGTTTTTGTATAACCTTATTTTTTGCTAACTTTGAGCATTAATTAAGGTGGGACCTAAGCGTTATTTTTAATGTTTCTAAGTGGGTTCATGTTTAATGCCGCGTAGTGAATAAATTCATGTATTTGGTTGCTCAAAACCATTTCCAAATAAATGAGAATTCAATGCGCATTTTCGGATTCGTTGAACTAGTTTTTTGGTGGGTTTCCTACACATTTGTGAAATGTGCTTGTCCCACATTGGAAAGGCTTGAGGTTTTGAATGGGTTTATATACCTTAGTTTGGGATACTTGGGATAGGCCCCAAGGGGTACCCAAGTTTGTGGAAGAGTGAGGTTATGGGTGAAGTGGGCTAGACCTATTGGACCCAAAATTAAAACCACGCGCGCGCAGCCGTTCGGTCATTTGGTCGGGTTGGGTTTCGGCTTGTCCGGCCCAATACTTATCTTTTTGGGCCAAAAAATTTTGTAATTTATTTTTTATTTTTAATTTTGGTTTCAAAATAAATTGGTCTAGAATTTTTTTCTTCACCCAAACAAGTCCCTAACAGGTTCATACCACTTAAACAGGTTCAAAAGGGTCAAAAACAAGTTCACACCTGTTGAATTCAAATGTTTATCTGTTCAAACAGATTGGTACCTGTTCAATCTGTCCGAACAGGTTTTCCACTTGTTCGAACAGCCACCTTTCCTCCTATAAAAAGCTAGCCTTTCAGCAATTCAAAACATACATTTTTTCCTCAGATTTTCATCTCTCTTCTCCCATTTCTGTCTTCCTATTTTCTGCACTTATTCTACATTTAATTTTAGGAAAAGAAAAAGAGAGTTTCAGCAAAGTTTTGGTTCGCTAAACTTGATTTTATAGTACTGTAAAATCAAGTATTACTCGTTACATCCTAGGAAGTAGACGCCGGTAAAACTCGAAGCACCGGAGCGAGGGCGAAATCTACTTTAACGAGATTGTGTCCAATACAAACATCAACATTAATTTCTCTAAGCATTTAATTCAGAAAATAATTTATATAATTATTTTTTAAATTATTTTATTTTATTGTTTATTTAATTTATACATTTAATTTACACATACACACCTTTGTGGGTATAATAATCTTAAAGTAAATTTTTTATTTTTATTTATTTCTGCGATAGACAGAAAAATATTTTGTTTCGGGAAATTAAATAGTAGTAATATGCTGTTTAATGATTTCTTTGATAGCATAGTAGTAATATACTGTTTATCATTGGAATTTTGTTACAAAATATTATTCTGTTTATTTTGTGTGTAAATTCTTTTGTATATAAATTTGTGATTGGGGTATTTTTTATTTCATCAGAATTATGACAACAGAAATAAACAGTACCGAGACTATTATTACTCCAACCGCCACACCTGTTGTGCTAGTTATGACTCTGGCAATACCGATAAATCATGGGAAGAAGCCAGAAAAATTCAATGGCAATGATTTTAAAGGACGGCAACAAAAAATGATGTTTATCTTACAACATTAAATTTGGCTTGTTTCACTCATGAAAAGGCACCGGCACTAAACGAGGGAGAAACTGATCGGCAAGTAGTTGCCACAGTCAATGCATGGTGTAACGCCCCGAAATAATTCAACATGAACTACCCACAACAGTAAGCATTCACTACAAAATGACAATGGTCCCTCCATTTACACCTATATAATAAATGGGTTCAATACAAAAGTTTCACATGCGGTATACATTCACAACATACAAGGATACATGAATCTATAGCATGTGAAGCATCAAGTCTCAAAATAATAAAATGCTCTTAAGGGCTTATATCTTCCAAGGCAATAGCCCGGTTACACAAAATGGCCTCTCGGACCCAAACATGTTAGCCCTTGGCTTTATAAGAAAGAAATCCCAACAAAAGAAGAGCCATGTGCTCTTTACAATTATCTACGCCTTCAACTTGGCGGGATCACTACGTCTTTACATGCACCAAATCCCATAGGGATGAGAATAAAGCCCAGTAGAGAAATACCAAACAAAGTATATACATTTATGTTAGGTGGCCAAAATTGAATGCAAGTGCACATGTAATGCAATACTCCTTTCAAGATATTATTCATATCTTTCTTGAGAAACACCATGCATTTCATTTACAATTACAATCTCATCAATTTCCAAATTTCACCTTTTTTAATCACAAGGGGTAGTAAATATGACACTGGTAATTCTTAGGCTGGTGTCTACAAGTAGACCTTACGAGTACTATCAAACTGTCATTTTTACCGGTATTAACCGGAAGGCTCGACACCTATCCGCGTGGTTTTATGGTCTTTCACCATGGACACTCAGGCCAACTTATCAAGTTCATCTACACCCCCTAACCGGACTTACCACCGTATTTACCCCACACACAGTTTCATAATTCTCATTATAGTGTAATCCTTCTCAAAATAAACTTGATGCGAATGTGCAATAATAATGATAAATCAAATGAAGACATGATGCAATATAAAATATCTCAAAACATCTTTCCATTTTAAAACATTTCTACAACAAAATCAATTTACTACATTATTCATTACTTCTCCTCAGCACTATTTCACAATGGTCATACCATCAATTTATAGCAACAACAATCCCTCAACATGTCCTATTCATAACAAGTTATCCCCTTCAAGGTCACAAGTGATGCCTTTCAAACATCAACCCCCATGTTTCTCGATCTTTCACAAAACCAAGACGCACAACCATTTATTATCTCACAACAACACACTTTTAAATGCTCTACCATAACGTTAAAATCACATTTCATTTCTCATGTATCATCTAAATTTTCCATTTTGCAAAACATATGATGAAAGTTTATTCTCTTAATATAGAACAACAAGATACATCTAAGCATGTTCACATCTTTCAAAATTTCCCAAAATTTCTAGGGTTTTTGTCAAAGTAAAACGAACATCTCCATCTTTTGAAAAGGTTTTCTCTCATGACATCACCTCTCTTATTATGTGAGTTATACTCCTCATGAAAATAATTAGAAGGAGAGAGAAATCAAACCCACCATTAAAACTCTATCATTTATGAGACAAGACCAAACTCCCAACATCATTAATGAAAACCCTTAAACCAACCAAACCAAACATGAATATATATATATATAAAACTTATGGAAATTTCCCTACCTCAAGTTTGATGGAGAAGTGGAGTAGAAACCCTAGAGTTCAAGGATGAGAGAGAGCTTGGATCTTCACCACAACAAGCAAAGCTCTTGCTCTAGATCTTTAAGGTTGTGAGAGATGATGATGATCTAACCCAATGGAGCAAGAATCAAAGGTTTTGGCGCTTTGGTTAGGGTTTTTAGAGAGAAAGAGGACAGAAAATGTGTTTAGAGAGAGAGAGAGAGAGATACATTAGAATGAGACACAATCAGCCCAAAAGAGTAAAAAAAATAGGGTTTTCGGACTGACCCCTCCCCGTACTTGCGGCACGTGTCCTCGCACGTGCAGCTGCCCTCTCCCGCACATGCGGCACTGATCCCCGCATGTGCGGCTGGTCCCGTACGCACCTAGCCCACACCTGCATATATTACAGTGTGCTGCCCCCGCTCTCCCTTGAAATCCGCATGTGTGGCCCAAGGCCCTGCACGTGTGGCCCTAGTTTCCTCAGCCCAAAATTTTTTTCCACCTTGTTCTAGGCACTTCAGGTTGACCCCGCACCCTCCGGAACAATGTGGAATCCAACACCGAAATAATTAAGGATAGAAGCTGAAGGTAAGTTCCTCGAATCACCACAAACCCAAGATGTTAACAAGACTCCAATTGAAAATTGACACGCTAATGAAGTACGACCGAAGTTAAGCAAAAGAATTAGAAGGGGTAACACTCGGGTCATCACACATGGAAACATGGTGATTTTTTATGTCAGAATTATATCCTCAATGGGTTGGATAATACATTGTATAATGTGTATAGTGTTAAAAGCACTGCTAAAGAACTGTGGGAATCTCTAAATCATAAGTATAAGACAGAGGACGCCGGTATAAAGAAATTTGTTGTCAGCCATTTTCTGGATTTTAAAATAATGGATTCCAAGACGGTTTTTAACCAGGTTCAAGATCTCTAATTAATTCTCCATGACATACATGCGGAAGGGATGGTTCTTAGTGAATCTTTTCAGGTTACGACAATCATTGAAAAATTGCTACCATATTGGAAAGAATTCAAGAATTATCTAAAGCATAAGCGCAAGGAGATTAAATTAGAGGAACTAATAGTGCAACTCCGAATTGAGGAGGACAACCGTGGTTCTGATAAAAAGTCAAGAAACCATGTCATGTAGGCTAAAACAAATGTTGTGGAATATGGACAAGGCTCAAAGTTCAACAACAAGAAGTAGAAATATGATGGCAACGGTCCCAAACAAGGGTCTACTAGTAAGATCAACAGAAGGATCAATAATGGGTTCAACAAGAGGTTCAAAGGCAAGTGTTTTGTGTGCGGCAAAGATGGGCATCGTGCTAAGGATTGTCACATTCGCAAGGATGGAGGGAGTTCAACCAAAAAGCCAGCACAAGCCAACATAGCCGAGGATTTTTATCTTTCTGATGGAGTGGCTAACATCAATCTTGCTGTAGTAGTCTCTAAAGCAAATTGGTGGGCAACTCCAAGGAGTGGTGGGTGGATACAGGAGCCACCCACCATATCTGTGCAGATAAGAAGATGTTCACAACCTACAAAGTGGTGGAAAGTGGGGAACAACTTTTTATGGGAAACTCCTCCTCTTCAACTGTAGAAGGACAAGGAAAGATTGTGCTGAAAATGACCTCGGGGAAATAACTCGCTCCTAACAATGTACTCCATGTGCCAGAAATTCGCAAGAATTTGATTTCTGGGTCGTTGTTGATCAAGAATAGGTTTAAATTAGTCTTTGAATCTGATAAAGTTGTACTCTCCAAGAGTGGAATGTATGTGGGGCGAGGTTACATGAGTGATGGGCTTTTTAAGCTCAATGTAATAACTGTTGTACCTAATTTGACTTTTAATAATAAAAGCACACTTCTGTTTATATTGCCGAGTCTTCTTTTTTATGGCATGGTAGATTAGGACATGTTAATTTTAATTCTTTGCGTAGACTTGTTGTTTTAGAATGTTTACCAAATTTAGAATTTGATCCTAATCATAAATGTGAGATTTGTGTTGAGGCAAAACTCACTAAGGCATCATTTAATAAAGTTGAAAGAAATACTGAACCTCTAAGTTTAATTCACACAGATATCTGTGATTTAAAATTTGTTCAAACTAGAGGAGGTAAGAAGTACTTCATTACTTTTATTGATGATTGCACTCGATATTGCTATGTTTACTTATTGAGGAGTAAAGATGAAGCCGTAGAAGCTTTTAGGCAATATAAATTTGAGGTTGAAAATCAACTTGGCAAAACTATTAAGATAGTGAGAAGTGACAGAGGTGGTGAGTATGATGCACCATTTGAAGAATTTTGTTCTGAACATGGTATCATTCACCAAACCACTGCACCCTATTCTCCTCGGTCAAATGGAGTTGCTGAGAGAAAGAACCGAACTCTTAAAGAGATGATGAATGCCATGTTAATTAGTTCAGGATTACCTCAGAACTTGTGGGGGGGAGGCGATTTTGTCTGCTAACTTTATCCTTAACCAGGTACCCCCACAAGAAACTTGATCAAACACCTTATGAATTATGGAAAGGTCGACGACCTACCTACAATTACCTCAAAGTATGAGGTGTTTGGCTAAGGTGGCAGTTCCTAGTCCCAAAACGACTAAGATAGGACCAAAGACCGTTGATTGTGTGTTCATTGGTTATGCAAATAATAGTAGTGCATAGAGATTTTTAGTTCATAGATCGGAGAATCCTGATATGTATGTAAACACTATTATTGAGTCAAAAAATGCATCGTTTTTTGAACACATTTTTCCATACAAGGAAACTAAAGAGAAAAGTTCAAATAAAAGAACTTTTGATACTGCTATGGGTAACAGTGAAGACCACAAATGATAATGAATCAGATGAACCTAGACGTAGCAAGAGGGCTAGGATCTCTAAATCATTTGGTCCAGATTTGCTGACATACCTGTTAGAAAACGAGCCTCAAAACTTCAAGGAAGCAATGTCAAGTCCTGAAGCTCCATTGTGAAGAGAGGCTATGAATAGTGAAATTGAATCAATACTGGAAAATCATACTTGGGAACTGGTGGATCTTCTACCAGGGTGTAAACCTCTTGCATATAAGTGGATATTCAAGAGAAAAATGAAAGCAGATGGTTCAATAGATAAGTACAAGGCTAAGCTTGTTGTTAAGGGATACAAACAGAAGGAAGGCCTGGATTATTTTGATACATATTCACCAGTGACAAGAGTAACATACATTCGCATGTTGATTGCGATTACAACTTTGTATAATCTGGAAATACATTAAATGAATGTTAAAACAGCTTTTTTGAATGGTGAGTTAGATGAGGAAATCTATATGGAACAATCGGAAAGGTTTCAAGTTCCCGGCCAAGAGAAAAAGGTTTGTAAACTTGTCAAATCCCGTTATGGATTAAAACAAGCTCCGAAATAATGGCGTGAAAAATTTGATCACGCTATGCTTTCGGATAGTTTTAAGATAAACGAATGTAACGAATGTGACAAATGCGTCTATGTTAAAAACACAGACAAAAGCTATGTCCTAGTTTATGTTTATGTGGATGACATGCTCATTATTGGAAGCAATAATGACATGATTATATCCACAAAGAAAATGTTGAACAAAAAGTTTGACATGAAATATTTGGGAGTAGCAGATGTAATTCTAGGAATAAAAATTACTAGAACATCTGAAGGATATGCTTTATCTTAGTCTCACTATGTTGAGAAGATTTTGGAGAAATTTGGAAAGTATGACGACCGTCCTGCTAAAACACCTATTGACATTAGTCTTCATTTGTCAAAAAATATAGGTGCAGGCATATCACAATTAGAGTACTCTCGGATAACGAAAGCTTGATGTACTTTATGAATTGCACTACGCCAGATATAGCCTATGTTGTAAGCAAATTGAGTAGGTACACAAGTAATCTAGGGTCCAATCATTGGAAAGCGATAATTAGGGTACTTAGGTATCTAAGACACACCCAGAATTATGGCCTTCATTATACCAAATAGCCAGCAATACTCGAGGGATACAGTGATGCAAACTGGATATCGGATACTAAAGACTCAAAATCTACTAGTGGATGCGTCTTTACCCTGAGAGGTGCTACAGTATCTTGGAAATCCTCTAAGCAAACATGTGACACCCGAAGGTTTTAAATTTAACATTACGATAAAATAAATAAATAATAAATAATAAATAATAATAATAAATAAATACATAATTTAGGAGATTGGGAATTTTACGGTTAAAGAAATACGTTGTGAAATATTACACATTAAATATTTTAGTAAGTGGTAAGTGGTGATTTATAGTTGGGTAGTGAGGTTTTTAGACATGAACCTAACTTATCATTATACGTAAGTTTTAGGAGTCATCTTAAATTACCAAAGAATGTAATAACTTTTAAATTTTAAAAAAATGGTCAAATGGTTAAAATATGTCTAAGTCCTAAGAAGATGGATTAGCCAATGGTCAAGTAGAAAGATAGAATTCAAACAAGTTAATAAATAAATGGATAAGGGTGGACCGGAGTAAATAGCAAGTTTTACACGCGTCAAAATTTCGAAACTTTCTGTGACTTGCTACCCACGATTTTCTTCCTATAAATAGGGAAGAAGGACAGGTTTAAGGCAACGGAAGTAGAGAGTGGAAAAGAGAAAGGGGCGGGTGAAGATCGTGAGTAGTGGAAAGAAGGAATAAAGAAATTAATTTAAGATGAGTTATATTATACCTTGGGTTACCAAAATGTATTTTACTGATGTTTTGACTTACTAAAATCTATTTTATACTAGTTATGTTTTATTAGTATATTAATAAAAGTTATGTTTTATAAAGGTTTCAGTTACGTGGATTATTTTCTGAACCCTATTTGCTTAAAAGGAAACCCATGGATATGTTTGTTTATATTTTAAAATATATTTGATTATGACCTTATAAGCAATTATGTTTTGTAAGTATCACCACGGGAGTCCCACGCCTTAGGGGACTTAAAATAGCCATTGGCTAGTGTTTGACCACTTTGTGGTCTAGTGTTGTCATGGATCCATTGACCTTTGTAGTGATTGTTACTTTAGTGATGTACCGTGGTTATAGTGATTATTTCAGTTTCTGGCACTTAATTAGTTTGTGTATTCAACTCAACTCAATTTATGTTAATGTTTTAGCTTAAATAAATATCCATGGCCATTTTGTGCCCCTACACTCATAGTATACTATTTCTCACTCTGCTATGTGCTTATAGCTGTTACCCCTTTCAGGTGACGAGGTTTAGCGGGATCAAGATAGAAAATGAATCGCTATGCTATTTGTTTTCTATCTTTTATTATTAGACTCTTGTAATACAATGAAGTTCAAGTAACTATGTT